GAAGGGTTGGGATGGGACTACCTGTTGAGACAGCCACTACACCCTGTTTGTCCTGGTACAGTTAAGTACTTCTATTCCAATCTCCGCTATCAAGGAGTCACCTCCAGGAGCTTCACTACTGTTGTGGTTGGTCACCTTCTAACCATTCCATTAGAAGCACTCAATGCCATCCTTGGCTTCCCATCAGAAGGAAGGGATATTGCTCATCCAAGTGAGTTTTGGAAGGAGGAATTCAATCTGTGCGTTGAGTATAGAAAAATTCTCAACCGAACCAACTTGTGGTTCAGATGTCCCCATCCCTGTTGACTGGTTGCCTCCTTGACTCAGAGTGTTTCATCACTTCCTGACCTATGTATTCTTCCCTCGTTCCTTCAACCTAGACCGGGTTTTAACAATGGATCTCTGGATCATTGCTAGTGCCACTGCCAGGCATAAGCTTGATTTTTCAAGCCTGCTCTTCAGCCATCTCCTTTTTGTTGGAGATGAGAATTATCAGGGTCTGCTCCCTTTTGGATCAATTATTACCCGGCTGCTCATCAACCTAGGGGTTGATCTTTCTGATTATAGAAGTGTGTCTTCTACAATGTATGTGAGTGCGTTGAACGTACTCATAATACTCAATCTTCCAACAACGATTACTCTTCCTCCTCAACCTTCAGCTTCTCTTCTTGGCCCTCGTCCCAAAACATCTACTTCCAAGAAAGCCAAATCTGCTAGTGAAATCAGCAAGGCTGGTGATTTCGTCTTCTCCATCTCTGAGGGGAGCTCTTCCTCAGATGACTCTGCAGCCTCTGCTCCCACACCTTAGATGTGTTTCTCCCAGGGGAAATTTGTTTCAAATGAAATTTTTTTTATTCTGCAGTAGGGTATCTATCTTTTGTAATGCTGTCCTCACGGACTAGTTTAATTTCAGGATTCTTAGGTGTAGGGGGAATCCACTTTTGTCCAACATGCTCTTTTTAGAGTCAAGTTTTGTGAAATCTCTACCGCTGTAACCTTGTTAGTTTTTAATGCAAATTTATTCTTTTTGAGTGCTGGTTTCTGTGGTTTTCTTGCTCTTTCTTTGTTGCAGGTAAGACTTCTTGGACGAAGGGGAAAATTGTTGTATAACACAGCTGCTTCACCATAAAGCTAGACGACTTTAGATTCGTCAAAGTGGTGCGTATTAAACAAAGAACAAAACACAGTGCAGCTACACCAAACTACGTCATTCTAAGCAGCTCGTCCATCAAAGTCTTCCATCGAGGATCTTCTTCCTCAGATCCTTTCCACTCTTGCTCGACGACCTTTTCATCTGCTCGACAACCTCCTCGTGTTTCATCAAAGGGCGGTGCCTCTTCCAGGCCACCTCCCTACCTCAAGATCATGATGACTTGAAGATGACCGTTCCCTTCAAATCCTCTCTCAAGAGCCCAACAAGTCTTTACAATGGTCACTAGGTACTTCTGCCTATATAATCTAGGGTTTGTAGTACAATTCGAACTTGGCAGTTTGCAATAGAAGAATAGGAGAGTGTCTTCTGTTACATTGGGTCCACTTTGTTGCTTCAGTAGAACAGTCACAGTGTTTGTAATCTGGGTGATCTGTTCTTGGGAAGTTGTCTGCGTGTTTGTCAAATAGCTAATCCATTGGCTTGGCTCTGGATCTTTTTCTTTGTAATCTTTCTTCAATATATATAAAATTGTTCCTTTCTAAAAGGTTGCTTCATCCTGGAGAATCCTTGTTTGAATTGAGAGTGTTTTACCCTGCAAAACCAAGTATCCTGCTGCTTTCTGAGTTCTCAGATCGTACCTCGTCATCAATTTCTTCACTTGGTATCGAGGTCGAGCTCTTCCCTGCGGAATTCTTTATCACTTTTTTGGTCCGTATCACCCATTGGCGTCACGACGTGGCCCCCGATCCCGCACGCGCTTCCATTCTCCGGCGGGCTTGTCATTTCTGGCTTCGACTAAGCTCTCTGACGAGTCCCGCCTAGCTTATAGTCGCCTCTCCATGGCGCAATTCTGTTGCATCAACTCCATATGTACACGAGCGGTGATGTTCTATTTGATAGAAGGGATGGAGAGACAGCGATGGTACTACATAATCTCATCTCTCTCGTGATCACCTCCCGTTGGATTGGGACTTGGTGGCGGCTGCTATTGGGCTCCGGTTGCCTGGGGGTAGGTTTTATTTGACAATTGAAGCCGAGTGTGGTGGGGTTAATTAGTTTTAATAATTAGGAGGTGGATGGGGGGAAAAAGGACGTTACAGGAGGGTTAATTGGTGGGGGAGGGTGTAAGTGTAACGGGTAGGCAGTGGGGTCTTCTCTTTTTTTTTTTATATAATAATAACAATAATAATATAATCAATATTATTATTATTCTTAATCCACGGTTCTCACACTTCGCACGTAACCGTCTATCCAAACGTCCATTTATTAATTATTGTTTAACCTAAACCCTAAATGTTGGAGTGTTACAATTACTTTCTTGGGGAAGAGTGGGAACATGTGGCGAGGTAACCATGGCCAAGATACTTGACTCACACGAAACTACACCACAAATTAATCCCGACTAGAGCTCAAGTTTTTAAACTCTAGTCGGGTGTAGTATAGAGCAAGTATTTAAATTGTCAACCCGGGCCGGTCCATGTACCCCTACTTCAATCGCTTAGGTTGTTATCTAGGAAAACGGTTTTGGGTTTAAAACTATGAAAATTACAAATGAAAACTAGCAAGGAAAATAAATAAAGGAAAATCCTAACTAAGGGAGCTTCACCCAGGAATTGCTTCCCCCTAACTAGCTACCATGACTCGTTGGATTGAATGAAGTCGTGAGGCGTAGGTGGTTGTAAACCTCGAGGGTGAGCAACTAGTGATCAATCTGTCACGGCATCAATTCACTAGCGATCGATTTGTCATGGGATCGATCCACTCACCAGATCTAAGGGAACCACTAGGAGGAGCAACTAGTGATCCATTTGTCACGGGATGGATTCACTTTAAGTCGATTTGTCACGGGATGGATCCTCTCACTCAATCACTAGTGGTTTCCTAGGTCTCTCCCTTGGAAGGGGGATTTTCCTCTCTAAGCTAGGCTAAGGTATTGACTCGACTCTACTGTCACCCTAGGAACTGGCCAAGTGCAACCACTCCCTAAAGCGTAGTATAGCGGGTTTAGGTTTATATGTCAACCCGGGTCCTAGATTTGCTGACTACTCAGTGAGTTCGTGTTATCTAGCAATGAAACTGGGATGCAAGTCTAAACTATCAAACTAATAAAGCAAGTAAACTGTTGTATTCAGGTTAAAGAGGTCACCCGGATATGGTTCCCCCTAGACTGCAGTTAAGCCGGATTGTAATTACCAAGTTCAGTTTCTATGATGGTTATACTGCGGAAGGTTCTTAAACAGTCTGAAGTCTCGACTAAAGGTCTTCAGACCCTCTCAATCTGACTCTCTAGCGGGCGACTAACCTCCACCGGAGTCGACAGATTGAGGCCCTAAGAACAAAACCTCCACTACCGGAGTAAATCCGGTACAGAATAGTGAGTTGGCTCCTCGACTAAAGTCACCAACTCCCTACCTTCAATCAAGGATACTCTATTAACCTAGGCAGATATTCTCATTCTCGGTTAAAGCAGAAACAACAGGAATTTGATCAGGATTCAAGTCATTCAATCATTAAAACCTCAATCGAATATAATCAATCACAGAATCAGTACTTGGGTTCATACAATCAAAGCCTAACATACAAATCTAGGGTTCTCCATACCCAGATGAATGGGAGAACTACTCCATGGAGAAGAAAGCAAAAGCAGAATCAGACACGGAATTCATACTGCAAAGGATGGATTCCTGCTTCTGGACGTTGATTGGCACTTCTCCAAGCTCAAGCTGGCCTCCAATGGTGTTGAAGATCAATCTAGGGCACTTGGGAACTCTTGCTCGTCACTTTCTCTCTCTAGGAACTGATCTCTCTCTCAAAAACTCGAATCCCCCCGAATTGTGGCTGAAATTCTGCTTAAAAGGAGAAAATCCCGACTCGCACGGCCAGGGTGCACGGCCGTGCACATCACCATTCTGGCCGTGCACCTCAAAACGCGGCGTATCAATAAGTTGAACCTCGGGCTTCTCGCACGGCCAGGATTGCACTTCGCACGGCCGTGCGGATTTCACTTGTGCCCGTGCAAGCTCTCGCACAATCCCGCACGGCCAGACTGGTTACATGCACGGCCGTGCGGGTTTTCTGCTCTGCCCGTGCGTCTTCTCGCATAATGTCGCACGGCCATAATTGTATACTGCACGGCCGTGCGACTCCCTGGTCTGGCCGTGCAGCCTCCTTGGAATCTCGCCATGCGTCCGATCCGCGTCCAATCGACATCAAACTCGCTCCCAAGCCTCCATTCACGTACTAGGACCTGAAATATCATAAACAAGCACCACCTAGCGTGAAATCGGCCTAAAACACGAGAATCAATACCTCAAACAGAGTAAGAGCAGGGGTAAAAGCATGTGTAACTAACGGTCTATCAAACTCCCCCACACTTAACCGTTTGCTTGTCCCCAAGCAAACCTAACTCAAACCAATGCAGCTCTCCAGACCTCTATAGCAACAAACAACCCAGATCGTAGGTAGAGGACTTCCTAGATCATTTAGCAACTTACGAGGTCAACCGACGCACAAGTCATCTCAAAGCTTCTTATCGAGTTGGCATCATGGCAAACAGTGAACAGAGAACAAATGAATTGTGGATGGAGAGATTCTCAAAAACAAAGGATCATGGACTCACACTTTTCGAGGTGCTCGATTTTCTTTGAAGATGGTTGGAACCCCTTTTCTTTCTGTTTTGCTTGTTTTCTGTTATTTTTCTTTTCAAGGGTCCCAACCTGCTCTTACCGGCCATGCCAGGAGCGGATGTCTCGAGCCTCGTGCGGGGGGAAGACATGTAAGGGGGCTGGAGGTAGTAGGTGGAAATTGGGAACGAATTCCCGTCTCCCCTTACACACTTGCGCCCTATTCGCACGGGAGACGTTTATTTTGAAGCACATTTTCGAGCACCTGTTATTTTCAAAACATGATACAAGAGTCCATGACAGGCAGAGAATCCACAACACCACACAATTCAAAGGGTCCTAAGATCACTAATTCACTCAATCAACCAACACAATATGAAGAAGAAATGAGACTTCTTAAATGCATCAACATCCTCCATAGTGCTACACTACCTCCCTAGGTTGCATATTACCATAAAGACTGTCAATTCAAAGCATACTGAGCAGGCAATTGCACGGAGACACTTACTTGGAGCCCTCAAATTTAAAAATTTGGACAGTGGACTAGGCTCCAAGCACACAAACAGATCTAATGCAGTCAAAGATAAACACCCCCCCACACTTAAGATCGACATTGCCCTCAATGGAGAAGAGGGAAGGATAAGGGAAAGATGTTACCGGTATGCGCGGACTGCAGGAGACTGGAGGCGGGCCAGTCGGGGCAAGCACAGCCAAAGGAAAAACACAGAGCTCAAACACAGTATGTTAGGTCCGATGGTCAGCCCAATAAAATATCATCCAAACCAAAAGAAAACAGACCAAACCCAAACCGGGTCTACAAACCGACTCAAAACTCAAGAAAGAAAAACAAACCGTGGTGGGGTTGCCTCCCCAGAAGCGCTTCTTTACCGTCGTATTAGCTGGACGCCCATGGTGGATACTCAGGGCGGTGCAGGAACAGGTGCCCCCAAGAGCGGATCCACGTCGCTCTTGAGGTACAGCTTCAGGTTGTGGCCATGCACCCGACGGATGCGACCACCATCATCGGTCAGCTCGACCTGCCCATCTGGCAAGATGCAGGCGAGTGAGTACCCGGACGGCCAGGGTGGTCGTGGTGCAGGAGGTGGGACCAGCTCATAGTGGTCTCCACTCTTCTTCCGTGCAAGCTTAGCAACCTGCGGCTTCGGCCGCCACTCCTCCTTGAGCTTTTTGTTTGGAGGCGAGGCTGGATGGAGTGGCGGCGAAGGAATGATAGGAGGGTCCTGCAAAATAGGAGGTGCAGAAGGGTACACGACAGGCTCGTGTATCTGATCAGACATAACATGCACAGGCGTGACATCAATCATAGCACAGTGATCAAACTCAGTCACAGAAAAAGTAGCCTGTTCATTCCCAGAACGCAAGATCAATTTACCATCATGTACATCAATAAGTGCCTTGGCGGTGGCAAGAAATGGCCTACCTAGAATCAAAGGCACATCCACATCCTCATGTATATCAAGAATAACAAAATCAACAGGATATGTGAATGCACCAACACCAACAAGCAGATCCTCTATGATTCCCCTAGGATGCACAACAGAACGATCAGCTAATTGAATGCTCATCCTAGTGGGGCTAAGTTCACCTAGGTCTAGCATTTTATACAACTTATATGGCATGACGTTAATGCTAGCGCCTAGGTCCGCCAAGGACTTGCCTACATGCATGCTGCCAATAGTGAGAGGGATAGTAAAACTCCCTGGATCCTTGCGCTTCTCGGGCAGCTTGTTCTGTAGGATAGCAGAACACTCTTCACTGAGCATCACTGTCGAAAGATCCCCAAGTTTCTTCTTGTTGGTGCAGATATCTTTCATGAACTTGGCATACTTGGGCATCTTTGACAGTGCCTCCATGAACGGTATGCTGATGTTGAGCTGCTTCAACATTGCCATGAACTTGGCAAACTCAGTCTCCAGCTTGTCCTTGTGTAGGCGAGTGGGGAAGGGAAGCTGGGGCACATGCTCCTTAACCACTGGTTGTGGCTTGGGAGCAGGGGCTTCCTTCTCCACCCGCACTTCTGCATCGTCGGCTGGAAGTGCTGAAGCAGGTAGTGGTTCCTCCTGTCTGGCCGGGGCAGGATCAGCAGATATCACCTTACCGCTCCTGGTAAAAATGGCATCCAGCTGCTGATGCTGGTGAGGATCTCGAGGATTCGGGACAGTGGTGGCAGGCAGAGTCCCCGGTGCCCTTGTAGTGTTCTGGCGAGCTAAGCTCCCTATCTGGTGCTGGAGATCCTGCAGAATGGCACCTTGGTTTCTCTGGCCTGCCTCCAGGGTTCTCTGGCCTGCCTCCAGTGAAGCTATGGTCTGATCCATCCTCGTGATACTTGCCTGGGTGGTGGTCATGAATGCTGCCAAAATGTTCTTCAGCTCGGTCATCTGATTATCGGGAGCTGGTGCTGCTGCTGGTTCGGCATACTGACGCTGAGGCTGCTGGAATGGCTGCCCTTGCCTAGGCTGGTAAGGCTGCTGCTGTGGTGGTAGCCCCTGCCTAGCCTGGAAGGGCTGCCTCTGCTGGAGACCACCTGCTGGTGCTGGGAAACCAGGTGGCTTGTTGGCGTTGCTGCTCCAGGCAAAGTTGGGATGCTGGCGCCATCCCTCATTATAGGTACTGCTGTATGGATCCAGGCGCCGAGCATTTGCTATGAAGTCCACCTGCTCTTGGGGAGTAGAAGACTCCCTCATAGACTGACAATCTTCCACCAGGTGGTTTGGGCTCTCACACCACTGACACTGAGCGACTGGAGGCGGAGTTACACCTCGGCCCGGTAGGAGACTGTTGGGCTGCTTCAATGTCTGCACCAACTCAGCCACCTGCTGCTCTAACCCGGATCTGGTCTCCATGGCATGCACACCACGGTCCCGGGAATGCCTGCCTCTGCTGCTCTGCCCCCAGGAATGATCTCTGGCAGCTAATGTATTAATCATCTGGTTCAGCTCGGGTGGAGTCTTAGTGAGAATATCCCCTCCTGGGCATAGAGATTCAATCACCCTCTGGCTATCTGGGGAGAGAGCGCTGTAGAAGTTCCCTACCGTGAAAGCATCGCTGAAGCCATGATGGGGACACTGCCAGAAGTATCCCATGTACCGCTCCCATGCATCACGAAGTGACTCATCTGGCTCCTGGCGGAAGTGAGTGATCTCCCGCTGAATCTCTGTAGTCTTCGATGCAGGGTAGTACCTGTGCACGAACTTGTCTGCCAGATCGTCCCAAGAGGTGATGGACAATGGTGGCTGGGTCTCCAACCACCTCTTGGCATTCCCCGCCAGAGAATGGGGGAAGAGATGAAGGCGGATCGCATCATCCGGGACACCATTCAGCTTGAACCCGTTCGTCAGCTGCAGAAAACGGGACAAGTGCACCCTGGCCTCCTCATCCTTCAAGCCATGGAACTGGATAGAAGATGTGATGAGCTGAATCCAGCATGGCTTGATCTCGAAGTTGTTTGCTGGGATCGGCGGGTAGAGGATGACCGGGCGGATGTCAGCAATCCGAGGAGTGTAATAGTACTCCAAGGTGGGACCCGGCTGCGGTGGATGATGAGCTCCATGATCCTGGGGTATGGGGTTGTTCCCCAGGACCTGATTCACCGGGGGATTCCCCTGGTGCTGATTGTAGTCTCCGTCCATTCCGTGCTCTTCTTCAGAATCGCTGCTCAGGTGGCCGTCTATGCGCTCTTCCGTAGCCAGTCTAGCGCGCTGTTGTCTCCTGAGCTGGCGACAGGTGCGGTCAATCTCTGGATTCAACGGCAGTAAACCTCCCGACTGGCTACGGGTCATGCACTACCTGCACACACTCAAGCAACAAACCCGTGAAGGCACAGGTGGGACAAAGAAAACAAAGCAAAAAGAAAAGCTAAATTAACAGAAATCACTTTTCTTCAACAACCTAGCTTTCCCCGGCAACGGCGCCAAAAACTTGACTCGACTCTACTGTCACCCTAGGAACTGGCCAAGTGCAACCACTCCCTAAAGCGTAGTATAGCGGGTTTAGGTTTATATGTCAACCCGGGTCCTAGATTTGCTGACTACTCAGTGAGTTCGTGTTATCTAGCAATGAAACTGGGATGCAAGTCTAAACTATCAAACTAATAAAGCAAGTAAACTGTTGTATTCAGGTTAAAGAGGTCACCCGGATATGGTTCCCCCTAGACTGCAGTTAAGCCGGATTGTAATTACCAAGTTCAGTTTCTATGATGGTTATACTGCGGAAGGTTCTTAAACAGTCTGAAGTCTCGACTAAAGGTCTTCAGACCCTCTCAATCTGACTCTCTAGCGGGCGACTAACCTCCACCGGAGTCGACAGATTGAGGCCCTAAGAACAAAACCTCCACTACCGGAGTAAATCCGGTACAGAATAGTGAGTTGGCTCCTCGACTAAAGTCACCAACTCCCTACCTTCAATCAAGGATACTCTATTAACCTAGGCAGATATTCTCATTCTCGGTTAAAGCAGAAACAACAGGAATTTGATCAGGATTCAAGTCATTCAATCATTAAAACCTCAATCGAATATAATCAATCACAGAATCAGTACTTGGGTTCATACAATCAAAGCCTAACATACAAATCTAGGGTTCTCCATACCCAGATGAATGGGAGAACTACTCCATGGAGAAGAAAGCAAAAGCAGAATCAGACACGGAATTCATACTGCAAAGGATGGATTCCTGCTTCTGGACGTTGATTGGCACTTCTCCAAGCTCAAGCTGGCCTCCAATGGTGTTGAAGATCAATCTAGGGCACTTGGGAACTCTTGCTCGTCACTTTCTCTCTCTAGGAACTGATCTCTCTCTCAAAAACTCGAATCCCCCCGAATTGTGGCTGAAATTCTGCTTAAAAGGAGAAAATCCCGACTCGCACGGCCAGGGTGCACGGCCGTGCACATCACCATTCTGGCCGTGCACCTCAAAACGCGGCGTATCAATAAGTTGAACCTCGGGCTTCTCGCACGGCCAGGATTGCACTTCGCACGGCCGTGCGGATTTCACTTGTGCCCGTGCAAGCTCTCGCACAATCCCGCACGGCCAGACTGGTTACATGCACGGCCGTGCGGGTTTTCTGCTCTGCCCGTGCGTCTTCTCGCATAATGTCGCACGGCCATAATTGTATACTGCACGGCCGTGCGACTCCCTGGTCTGGCCGTGCAGCCTCCTTGGAATCTCGCCATGCGTCCGATCCGCGTCCAATCGACATCAAACTCGCTCCCAAGCCTCCATTCACGTACTAGGACCTGAAATATCATAAACAAGCACCACCTAGCGTGAAATCGGCCTAAAACACGAGAATCAATACCTCAAACAGAGTAAGAGCAGGGGTAAAAGCATGTGTAACTAACGGTCTATCAAACTCCCCCACACTTAACCGTTTGCTTGTCCCCAAGCAAACCTAACTCAAACCAATGCAGCTCTCCAGACCTCTATAGCAACAAACAACCCAGATCGTAGGTAGAGGACTTCCTAGATCATTTAGCAACTTACGAGGTCAACCGACGCACAAGTCATCTCAAAGCTTCTTATCGAGTTGGCATCATGGCAAACAGTGAACAGAGAACAAATGAATTGTGGATGGAGAGATTCTCAAAAACAAAGGATCATGGACTCACACTTTTCGAGGTGCTCGATTTTCTTTGAAGATGGTTGGAACCCCTTTTCTTTCTGTTTTGCTTGTTTTCTGTTATTTTTCTTTTCAAGGGTCCCAACCTGCTCTTACCGGCCATGCCAGGAGCGGATGTCTCGAGCCTCGTGCGGGGGGAAGACATGTAAGGGGGCTGGAGGTAGTAGGTGGAAATTGGGAACGAATTCCCGTCTCCCCTTACACACTTGCGCCCTATTCGCACGGGAGACGTTTATTTTGAAGCACATTTTCGAGCACCTGTTATTTTCAAAACATGATACAAGAGTCCATGACAGGCAGAGAATCCACAACACCACACAATTCAAAGGGTCCTAAGATCACTAATTCACTCAATCAACCAACACAATATGAAGAAGAAATGAGACTTCTTAAATGCATCAACATCCTCCATAGTGCTACACTACCTCCCTAGGTTGCATATTACCATAAAGACTGTCAATTCAAAGCATACTGAGCAGGCAATTGCACGGAGACACTTACTTGGAGCCCTCAAATTTAAAAATTTGGACAGTGGACTAGGCTCCAAGCACACAAACAGATCTAATGCAGTCAAAGATAAACACCCCCCCACACTTAAGATCGACATTGCCCTCAATGGAGAAGAGGGAAGGATAAGGGAAAGATGTTACCGGTATGCGCGGACTGCAGGAGACTGGAGGCGGGCCAGTCGGGGCAAGCACAGCCAAAGGAAAAACACAGAGCTCAAACACAGTATGTTAGGTCCGATGGTCAGCCCAATAAAATATCATCCAAACCAAAAGAAAACAGACCAAACCCAAACCGGGTCTACAAACCGACTCAAAACTCAAGAAAGAAAAACAAACCGTGGTGGGGTTGCCTCCCCAGAAGCGCTTCTTTACCGTCGTATTAGCTGGACGCCCATGGTGGATACTCAGGGCGGTGCAGGAACAGGTGCCCCCAAGAGCGGATCCACGTCGCTCTTGAGGTACAGCTTCAGGTTGTGGCCATGCACCCGACGGATGCGACCACCATCATCGGTCAGCTCGACCTGCCCATCTGGCAAGATGCAGGCGAGTGAGTACCCGGACGGCCAGGGTGGTCGTGGTGCAGGAGGTGGGACCAGCTCATAGTGGTCTCCACTCTTCTTCCGTGCAAGCTTAGCAACCTGCGGCTTCGGCCGCCACTCCTCCTTGAGCTTTTTGTTTGGAGGCGAGGCTGGATGGAGTGGCGGCGAAGGAATGATAGGAGGGTCCTGCAAAATAGGAGGTGCAGAAGGGTACACGACAGGCTCGTGTATCTGATTAGACATAACATGCACAGGCGTGACATCAATCATAGCACAGTGATCAAACTCAGT